TTTTTGAACCATTCAAATCGGTTGATCCGTGCGCCTAAAACCGTCCCGAAAATTGTATCCATACATACATACACACACACACACATCCATTTTTTCTGAGGTATGCAAAATGTTCAGAAATCTTCAAAACGTCGAGAAATGTAAACATTTTCAATTTCGATTTTTGGACGATTACAATAACTTAACCTACTGAAGTTAATAATAATAATAAATGAATGGATTATATAATAAAATATTAGAAATGTTTGGACATTAGAAAGTTTTTTAAAAAAGTAACAATGACTGTTCTTTCCAATACATTGAACAAACCTCCCAATATGTACACAAAAAATGAGGCAACATAAATTAAGTGTAGTTAACCATAAACAAAAATTCTCCAAAAGTACCCTTGTACAGTACTTTGTCAAAAATGCCCACTCGTTTAACTTCAATCCAAATATTTTATATCATGAAATTGCGTACTATTTTTTATGGGGTTTTGCAGAAAGTTTTCTATACTTATGAACGCTTGCAATAGAGTTAACATCAGATCAGATCACAACTGTTACATGATTCCTATTTAATTTTTTTACACTCTTGACAAATAATTAAAAAATCATTCTTTCTTTTCAGTTTTATACGTCCTTCTATTCGAAATTTACTTTTCTGTTCATGCAACTTTATAATATCGACATTCATGTAAGATCAATAGTTAAAGTTAAATCAATTGGTTTCTCCTTAAAATTTATCCTTCAATAATCAGTTTTTTACCGAATTGTTATCCCATAACATCGAAGAATAATACTTTTTGTTTCACATAGCAAACTTCAAAAAAAAAAACTAACTAATACTAATACTGCATAACTAATAATTGCAAACAATGTTCTCTTTGTCTAAAAACAAGTTAATAAACACACTTTTTTTTGATAAAACCGTTATCAGTGAAAAAGTGTTGATGTATAATCAATCATACAGGTAATTATGTTTTCAGTACCCATTAGGAATAAGAAAAATGTAATGTCTACAATATTATTGCCAAAAACCAGCTGAGATGTGCCAGAAATCAAACACATATGAGACACAATATATGTTTGGCAGATGAAATTATATATTGAATTTAATAAATAACACAATAAGTCCAAAATTGCATATACATTATTTTTTTAAACTTATGCATGTTGTATATTGGTTAACTTCACTGAATTATTAAATACAAAAGAATATTTCTACTTAAAAAAAAATGATTTAGAACTTTGTTTCTTTTCTTGATGTGGAATATTTAGCATTGATCTTCGATTGAAGAGTGCTCTATGCACCAGATTTAGAACTAAAGTAATAATACTTATTAAATTATTAGTAAGAAAAATGTAATTTTAGAAATTGTAATTGCCGAAAAGCAACTAATATAGGGTACACGATTTATAAAATTATAGACTATCATATATCAAATCATTGAAGGCAATTATATCGGTTGAAATAACAAAGGTGATATTGTTATTTACCATAGATACTATATTTATTCTTTCTATTCTTCTGCATTTCTTATAGAGGATCCAAAAACTGCAGTTTCCATACGTACGTATATAGCTTATGCTAAAACCATAAATAAAAAACATTATATGAAATATTAAAAAGTATAGGATAGGATATTAAAAAATTTGGAACTAAATTGCAGACGTGGGTACAGGTTTAACATCTGTCGGTAGTCTAGTATATATATATATATATATATATATTATATATATATAATATATTCAGAATATCAATTACAAAGATATTTTGTAACTTACCTGTCCAGAACTGCCGAAGCAGTTCTCCACCATGGCAATCCGCCTTGCATTTGCCTCGCTATTAACTAAAACAAATAAAATAAATTAGAAATCACATACAACAAATTTCTACAATACAAAAATGAATACATATCAATTTCAAATTATTTCTTAAACTAATTTAACATTTGCATATGTTTTAACCAAATCAACTGTTGCACAAGTAAGCTGTCAAAACCTAATTTATAACCATCTAAAAAAACAGTTTCCAATTAAAATGTATATACTTACAAAACGTATATACTCACAAAAAAAGAAAGGATTCATTATAAAACATTATAAAATAGTTTAGAATATTAAATAATATATAAATGTCTTATTTAGGTTTGGCAGGTAGAGGAACATTCACGCTTCGTTTCTTGTTACTTTAGTTCAGAATGTGTTGAACTTTATGTGACATACGTTATTTAATTTGCTGATTGTTTTATTAATAAATAATTATTAATATTTAATTAAAAATAAGTGTATTAAATTAAAATAATTTTAATTCGAGCTCACCTAGCCTATCCACCATGATTCACTATTTTGGTACATACATGCACAACGTTCACATTTACAATAATGACATTTTAGACGGGGCGCTGGTGTATATAGTAATAGTAATATTTCTGATGCACTCCGGGTTTCATCGTAGTACTTCGTATACGTTCGTATCTGATATTTTTTTACATCTCGTGTGGCTTGTTTTCTTCGATGTTGAATCATATGTTTGACTTGTTGAAATAACTATTAGTGCAGGGCATCGTGCTTCAAATCATATTACTGGAACTTCCGACACCGTAATTAATTTTTTTTAAAGCTCGGAAAAGAATAAATAGAATTGTTTAATTTTTTTCAACATTTCTGGAAAGTATGTACACATTTAATAAATTTGAATATTGAAACAAATATCTTTTTTGAAAATTATTGAGTTTTTTGATAAATTTATTATTTCTATTTATAAATTTAACTAGCTGTAAGTGGAATTCTATATTAAGGCAATTATGGCATCGTGCCTTAAGGCAAATTGCTGGAACTTCCCGTACCGTAACGAAATGTTCGTGGAATACTGAATGTTTTCAAATAGATTATTATAAATATTGTAAAATTGTCTAATATTTATAAGAATTATATAAACTGAATTGCAAAGTTGAAATTATTTGTAAAGTATATTAGAACTGTAGTCAGAATTAAAAATAAAATCTGAATTATTTTCGATATACAAAAAATTAAAAAAAAAAAGTTGAAACAAGTTTTTTTTTCCAAAATCAATTATTTTGTTAAGACAAGCAGAAAGTTCTTTGAATCATTTAAATCGGACGCTTAGTTCTCTCAAAAACTGCCATTTTTTACATATTTAGCTCCGTATCTTTGAAATGGCTGGGCCTGCCTTTGCTAAAAACTAATAAACACTTCTCCCAATCATTACTAATTGATGTTTTTAGATCATTCAAATCAGATACTCCGTTCTCCCAAAAAGTCGATTTCTATTTTCTGCATTCTTTTCTCCGTATCCGAAACGGCTGGACCTGTCTTTGCCAAAAACTAATCAGCTATTTTCCCTATCAATAGGAATCGAATGTTTTTTGAACCATTCAAATCGGTTGATCCGTGCGACCGAAAACATGACTGGAAATTTGTATCCATACATACATACACACACACACATCCATTTTTTCTAAGGTATGCAAAAATGTTCAGAAACCTTCAAAACGTCGAGAAATGTAAAAATTTTCAATTCCGATTTTCGGCCCATTACAATAACTTACCCTACGGGAAGTTAAAAATACTGTTTTTTTTTTAAAAAAAAACTTACTTAATAAAAACTCTTTTTTAAAAAAATCAATTTATATATAGTTTGATCCATATTGTCGAAAAGATCTGATTTTCCACCACCAAATAACATTTTTTGAATTTTTTTTAAATCTGCAAAAATGTAGTCAATTCTGTTAATATTAGGTTGTCAAATATCTCCCGTCCGCTTTTTTGCTCTTGGTTTAATACAAAAAGGCGGAAGGGAGATATTTGACAACCTATTATAAATTACTGTTAATACAATACAAGTTACTGTCAACACAATGTTTTTTGAATCATTGAAATCGGATGCTTCATTCTCTCAAAAACTCAATTGCCATTTTCTGAACTCTTTGCTCCGTATCATAGATAAATAAGCATAATAATGCTCAGTATCTCCGAAACGGCTGGACCAACTTTTGCCAAAAACTATTCAGTAAAGTCTCCATATCAATAGGAATCAAATGTTTTTTGAAAAATTCAAATCAGTTCATCCGTGCTCCCGAAAACGTGGACAAAAAATTGTACATACATACGCGCGCGCACACACACACACATACATATATCAATTTTTCTTAAGTATGCCAAAATGCTTTGAAAAGTAATTTTTGTTTTTGAGTTTTGGAGAATTACTAGTGATGTTACTATACAGGAAGTTAAAAAATATTTCATAATTTAACAATTTACTATATACGTTTGACAATGTATGTGTGCCACCATTCAGCAAGTTAGCAAGTTCTAAAAAGTTTTATAAAAACTTCTAAGAATTACTAAATATTGTAACAAATTTCATATAATAAATATATATATATACATACCAAAATATTTATAATGACGTTTTGACACTGTATTCGTACCATCATTCAGCAAAATAGCAAATTCTAATTTTTTTTTGTGGTTTTCTGAAAATAACTGAACATTAGAACAAATTTAATAGATATATATTGGTAGTTTTATCGACGTTGAATTATATTTGAAATAATTTGCAGCCCAATCGTCGAATTAAAAAAGATTATAAAAAAAAAATTAACCTTTTTTTTTGAAGTAAGACTTCTTTAGACGCGACAAAAGAGTAAATCTGTAAAAATGTAACGGAAGGCCGTTACGCCTGAACTGTTCATCATTCGCTCGCGATGAAATCATTAAAGTTTATATTATTTATTTAATTACAGTGAAAAAATAAAACAAATTTAACATTTGTGGCGATTGTAAGAAACGTCAGTTTATTGAAATGATTTCGGTATTATTCGTAGTTTCTATTTATAGAAGTTATTAAAATAGAAAATATTTTTATAGGCAAGACAGATACTACAGCTGCTCAAAGAATAAGATTATATCGCAAGCGAAAAAGTAAAAAAAACAAGCAGTCAATAAATGGATGTTAATTTTAATTACATGAAGTAATAGATTATTTATTATTTCTAAACATTAGGACAATAAATGGGGATGTTAAAATTAACAAATATGTGATATTGAAAATAATGAAAAAAATCTATAAAAAAAACATATACATATATACTAAGATATGGTCGAATTGAGTAAGTTAAATGTGAAGTAATAGATCATTTCACATGTAGTCCAGTCATTATAGTAAGTTTGAGATACCCAACTGTAAGTCTGTAAATACTTGTATATTGACACCTAAAGTTGTCTCAAAACCCTACATATGTTTCGTACACCCTATCATATGCAGGTTTTGAGAGAACTTTAGGGTGTCAATATAAAAGTATTTACAGACTTATAGCTGGGTCGAACTCCGAGATTCTTACCTAATTTAAGCTTAAATGACTAGACTAATGATATTTATGAAAATTAAAAAGATAAAATATTATTTATTAAACGTTTCGACATTTAATAAGTGTCATTATTCAGCAGTGTAAAATCCGTAATTACAATGAATAACAAAAATTTCAAAAATTTCAAAATTTATAACAAATTAAAAGAGAAGAAATATTAATACCAAACCAGAAAAAAACACAAAAATGAAAAATATGAGATACTATTTTTGTAAAAAAAACAAAGTTTGTTTTTATCTAGTTATTTATATTACTCTTTTTGAAAGATTTAGAACAAACCAGTTGAGTAAAATAATTACCGATGCCTTGTCTATGAATGCATTTACCAACCATCATGTAAAAATCTGTTGTTGGTATTAACGATCGTTTATGACGTTTGTTTTTATTCTCTTATGAAATGAAATATTCATAATTACATTATATTATTTCATTGAAATTCATTATTAAACTAATGAAATGAATATTATATCTATATAAACCAAATAGCCAAAAGAAGTTAGGTTACTACTAATGATTGTAGGTTTAGTCTTGCGGCACGTGAATTTTGAGGTTATTTTGTCAAATTTGTCCAAAACTACTGATTTACTTTTAAAATGTCAGTTCAATCAGGTAAATTGATATTGAAAATTCTAACCGAGCAATTTGGGGAAACTATAGCTGCTGTAGGCTACGATTTATTAGACATGGATCCAGACCTGTTGCTCATATTCACTCGACTACAAAACTGCCTATATCAGAAATAAAACACTCATTATGTATCTTAGCCAAATATAAACTGATTACCTTTACATCATCAGCACACCCAGACTTTGCTGAGTACGAACTACTGAATGAAAGAGTCTTTTACATAGTCCGGTACCCAAATACATATGCCGGATAAAAGACAAGTACGGAGACGAAGCTGAGGTGTTGCTCGATGAGTTGCTGAGACTAGGCTCTTGCACGGCTTCAGAACTCATTGTAAGATGTCTTGCAAGGGTTAAGGAACAATATCCGAGCAATCTGTGTGATTTAGTATCTCTACGAGACAAATTTGTTGATATGGTACATGGTAACTATCTTTGTCGGTGTCCGGTTCCAATTACAGAATCATCGGTGCCTTCACTCTTTCTTGATGAAGCCCACATGTTTGTAATGCCTGATATAGACTTGCGAGAGCTATCTAAAATGCAAAATGGAAGTGAAGGCAAACCAGGAGATGAAAACGTTTATTGGGTGTGTAATTTTTCTAAATTTCATCAAGACATGCGTGATGAATTGATGATCAGTGCTATGACACGTAGGATAGATGAATGTGCAGGGGAAGTTATGAAATGTTTATTGCAACAAATGTATGTACGTACCGATGCTTGGGAACAACAATCAAACGCTATACCATTCGTAGAATTGAAACAAACTTGTGCTGAAACTTCTGAGGATAAATATCCGAATATAATTCCGTTTTTGGATCAATATTTAAAAATTATTGTAGAAGATTCCTCACAATTTTTGAAAAAGATAGGGGATGCCAGCGGTGGACAGTATGTTATCAACGTAGCACTTGCTATGGAGCAATTGGCTTGGTGTTGTTTAGAAAACTACATCGTCCAACGGTTTTCTTCTAAATCCGCAAGAATATTCCGCGTTGTACGAACACATAAATTCATCGAGCAAGAGCTCATACAAAAACGTGCTATGATCCCCGATAAAGAAGCCAAACAATTAACATACGAACTTCTTGAAAACCATTTCATCAAACTACGCGTAATAAACAAAGGAGGCCAACAAGGATCCATAAAAAACTTCTTCTTATTCACCGTCGACTTAATGGAATCAGTATACGTGTTATTAGATATGACTGAAAAGGCTTTGCTAAATGTTATGACTAGACGACAACTGAGCATGCAAGAAAACATAAGATTGTTACAGAAACAGCAACGTGTTGAAAGCTTAGTAAACACAATGAAAATTAGAGGAGACCCTGAAGAACATATAAAAGACATCGAAGATACACTTACCCCTGCAGACCACGAAACAATCGCTAAGGCCAAAAGAGAAATGGACATGTTGGGAATATCTGAAATTAAATTAGATGAGACTTTATTTCTACTCAAAATGTATTTATTCTATTCGAAGAAACCAGACACAGTAGGCAAATGCAATTGTTGTAATTATCGTCCATAGATAGATTATTAACAAATAATAATATAAATTTGATAATATTTTTACAACAGACGTTAATTTCAATTGCAAATGTTGTAATCATCTTCCATAGATTATTATTATATTATACAAATATTAATATAAACTAGATAATTGTTTATTTTTCTACAACAGACACAAATTTCAATTGCAAATGTTGTAATCATCTTTCATAGATTATTATTATTATTATTATTATTATTATATTTTACAAATATTGATAGAAATTTTATAATAAATTATGTTTATTTTTTACTTACTATGTACAGTCGCTAAATGATAAATTGTAAACACAGATATTGTTAAGAGTTTGACAAATTACACATATAGAATATATTATGAATACATGTAAATACAAAGGACATACACTAGAATTATATATATATATAATTTATGTTATAAATATAAATAAACTTAATGTTATAGTTGATCTTAAATGTTTAATGTAAGATATGACTAAGATGATGATCAATTTGTTTCAAAATGTAAAATGTTTAGTGAAATTTATTTGCTGGTATTCCATATATATATATATATATATATATATATATATATATATATATATATAAACCATACTTTTCTTTTGCACTATTTATTAAGAATTCAAAATTTTACAAACGTTTTGAGACTCAGTTTGTCTCATCATCAGTCTAACTAATTTAAGTTAAATCACCAAAATATAGATCAGAACTTAAGTTAAATTCATTACACCAGTGATGAGACAAACTGAGACTCGTAACATTTATATAATTTGAAATTTCTAATAATGTAGTTAAAAAAATTTATATATATTATATTAGATTATATTAAATACCGCGCCTTGTTTTTATATTTAAGTAGTATTGCAAATTTAATTATGTAATCTACTTTATCTATTTACTTAAATTATGGCATAAAAGTTATATAAATACCTTGTCATTAACTTAATTTATTCTATGATTATTAATAATTTTATATGTACATTAAAATTTAATGCAATTTATATTAGATATAAAAACAACAAATATATTAATAATTTATTTCATGTTAAAGAATATTATGAATACGAATTATGATTTAAATATCAGATTTACTTCATTAATAAAATTATTTACTAAGTCATTTTAATTGTTTTTGTTAATTTTAAATACACTTTTAACATACCTTCATGGTTTATTTTTTACCAAACAGACCTTGACATTTTAGAATTGTCTGATTGTTTTTACAGATATTATACATAAAATAATTTGACATGTATTTCAGGACATCGCTGAAAAAAATTTACCTTTAAAATATGGATTTTTTGCTCAATTTCTATGAACATCATCTGCGGAAAACTAATTATCTCCAGTTGTGCTAATAGGATCAGTATTATTATTTTTTTAATACACTCATATTGAAGTGAACTTTGTGATGATTTTAAAAAAAACATTGTTCTTGCAATTTCCTTAAAAATAACAATCCTTAAATATTTACAAAGGTTTTACATCCCTTCCCTCAACTCAAATTGATTGAAAAATAAACATATTTTTTCTTTTTTTCTCTGCTACAAAATTCTTTTTACAAATTTGTTGGAGACTTCGTTACATTGAAAGATATTAAATATTTTAAGCCCCGCTCTCCCCTAATATTGTTTTTTCAAAAAAAAAAAAATCGGCTTAATTCTGCAATACGTGTCAAATGATTTTATGTATAATATCTGTAAAAAAATCAAACAATTCTAAAATGTGATATTTTGAAACCGATACTGCCGCATAACAGAAAAATGTTATGGCAAGGCCATGTTATGAAAAACTCTCCATACAAAGTATTGATAAACGCCATGTAGTTAGTGTGTAATCAGGAGTATTTCTCAGGTTGTCAGATATTAAACCTAACCTAGTCAAAAAAATTATCTTAGATAACAGGGTCTTTCTGACACAGCTTCATAACATACGAGTGACGTTACAGTTTTTGTGTGAAACGCCTGGATACACAGCAAATACATGACATTTTGACAGTATTTAGTATGATGATAATGTATGGAAGTTGGAGCGTAATATGGCTTTGCCATAACATTTTTCTGTTATGCGGTAGAATCGGTGCCTTTATTTTACCCAAAATCCGTGCGATTTGTAAAAGAATGACTGTTATATAAGGGGTTTAGGACATAGAAAAAAATGTATAGAAAATTATGAAAATGACAGAAATAAGATTTTGATCAACATGCAGAAGAATTACTAGATCGGAGATTATGACGATATTTTTGTAAATTGACCCCCAATTTTGACTTTAGATTCATCAGTTCATTAGAAAACATGTGACACACACCCAATATATGCAACTTTTTTTATTTTGTAGACCCTTGTAATAAAAAAGCAACGCAAAAAATGTATTTCAAATATCTTGGTCCATTATTACTATGTATGACCTAGTACAGACCTTACCTCATACAAGTACCTACAGACAATAAAATCAATCAAGAGCTTGTCGTTTAATTTCGTCCCAATAAATAATTATTTATTTACTTAAGTCTGTCGATGATGCCATGATATTAGTTAATAAAATTATATTATATTTGTCCTTATTATTTGCAAGTGTGGACGTCGACGTTTCGAACGCAGGTTTTGCACTCGACAAAACAGCACCAGTGGAATTTGCATTCGCATCGCTCCCGGACAGAAATCTTCCGGGTGTTGTAGCCGCGGCCGCAGCAGAGCAACTTGCAGCCGTCCAGGCCGTCCGAAGTCCTGGGAAAAAGTAATATGATATTATTGATGAGAATTTTTTTTCATATTATACTGCATTTTACTCTCAAATCAGTTCAAATGAATCAGATGAATCTATAGATTACCTCGCTCTTGAGCATGTGCGAATAAGTGCCTTAAGGCAAATTGCTGGAACTTCCCGTATCGAAAATTCAAATTTTTAAAAAAGCTTTAAAATTTATTGTAAACTTGAAAAAAAATAGATTTTTGAGAATTTTGTAATTTTTGAAAAATAATTGACTTTTGAAAAATTTGTTTTTTTTTTAATATATTGAAATTTTTACAGAATTGTTTACTTTTTTCAATTGATATCCAAAACTGATAGACCTGCCTTCCGAAAAATTTAGCAAAATGTAGCAAATTTTGTGTTATTTTTAGGTTTTTATTTTTTTACTTCTTGTTTTTTCATTATAAAATTATCAAGTTTTTTACCATTTTGCAATCATGATTAAATTCCAAAGTCGAACAATTTTGAAGATTCTAAATTCATAGTTTAACAAAAAGTCTTAATTTTTGATAACTTGAAGCAATTGTGTCATTATTTTTGACCGTGGCCCTAGAAATGTTACTTACTATTTCGGATTCAAAGTTTAAACTAATAAAATTAATAAAATGTATCCACAACAACCGAAAAATGATAAGAGTTTTACCAAAGCCATAATTAATATTAATATTATAATAACAAGATATTTATATTATATCTTGATAGTTTTTTCACCGTTGAAACATATTTGAAAAAATATTTTAACAGCCCATTTTTCGAAATAAAAAAATAAGTTATTCTTTATTATACGTTTCGACACTCGATGTGTGTCACTAATTAGTATTCACCAGGTCAAAAGCATGAATCTTATACATCTTAATAAAAATTAAATTTTTTGATGAAAATAAACACAAAACCATAATTATTAGAAAAAAATTATATTATTTAAATGTATAATGGAGCAAAAAATCAATCTACTCCGTAAAAGCGACAGAACCAATGTAACATTTTTGTGTTAATTTTTGTCATTTTTTTTTATTTCGATGAATGGGTTGTTGAAACATTTTACAATTATATTATATATATATATATATATATATACGTATCGATACTGTATGTGTGTCATCATTCAGCAAATTCATATTGGGAAGAACACTAAAATCAATTTTAGCTTAGTAAATGATATATATTCTTGAGAATATTTTTCAGCCAAATTGACAAAATGAGAAAATGAGAAAATCTTGAAATTAGTTACTCTGTACGTTTCGACACTGTATGTGTGTCATCATTTAGCAAATTCATATCAGGAAGAACGATAAATATTCTTGATATTTTTCTTCAGCCGATTTGACAAAATCAAAAATGATAAAATCTTGAATCATTCATTATGTACGTTTTGACAATGTATGTGTGTCATCATTCAGCAAGTTTATACTGGGAACAACACTACAATCATTCTACTTTGATAAATGATGTCATAAACTACATACTTTTATTTTTGGTCATATTTCAAGTTTTGATTTCTATAATTTTATTACAAATCAATATTTTATTTCCATGTTTCTTTTCCTATTATGATTTGCTAAATTATGAAACATATACCGTATATCGTTTTTTATTTCGAAAATTTGGTTAAAAAAAATTACTAGGCGTAAGTGGCATTTTGCCTTGAGGAAAGTTTCATGATCTTTTCGATGTGTAAATAATCGAATTGATCAATCCCATAAATTCGAACTGTAAGTCTGTCTTAAAAATACTTAATATTTTAATTTAAAATATATTTTACATTTAAAATTAATATACCTGTTGCACACTCTGCCATGTGTTCCTAAACTGCCAGTAATTTGATTCTTGACGCAATAATTAGGCGAGTCTTCAATGTAGACCAGATCTCCTGGTGAAGGCATTTTGTAGCTGGTATCTCTGATTTGGAGCTTTCCACGTTTATTTATTCGGACTTTGGTTGCACCATCATATTTGTCTTTTAAATAATCACCTAGAAAGAAAATCACAATTGAAAAGGACAAATGACTAAAGACTAAAAGATATATCATTATTAGTAAGCACTTATGTGAAATGGCAATTGTATTCTTGAATGCGCAGCGAAGTTGTCATTGCTAGTCAATTACTAGAATTTTATGACTATAAGCTTCTCTAAAGTATAATATAAATTTTCACCATCTCATTTGACAAATAACACCTCAAATTTTACTATTACTATCACCAATGTTGACATTAACGACCATTAAATAACACTGTGTGGTGCGTGTGGTCCATTCCTCAGGGTGACCATTCATTCATTTATGTCTGATGATGACCGATACAATGTCTTCTTGTGTAGATTTTACAAGAGATTAGTAAGATAGAAAGGGAACCGTCCTTATCTGTACTTATCCGATGTTACGCCTTAAAATCGATGTTAATTTACGACCCATGATAAAAGAAACATCGAAGGAACGGGTTATTAAATGCATATGCACATGTTGCACGAAAGAGATGATTTGTCAACGAAATCGGGTGAGAAATTATTCAGATTTAAAAAAAACATACTAAAATGAAAGGTAACCAAAACTTTGATTATCGTAATTTAAGATTTTTTAAAAATTGTTTTTTTTAAGTTTCGAAGTTTTTTCAAAATTTGATTTTTTTTTGACTAATATGTACTTCTATTGAAAATTTTGAAACCCAATCAAGTCGGTTGAACGAAATCGAACGAAATCGAAAATGTCGAAAATGTCGAGCACATTTATTTGAATTGTATAAATATACTAGCAGTACATGTTCACTCTTCACCGTGTTTTACCTTCAATTAAAATTTTGAACAAAAATTCTACCTTTCTACCTGTTTAGCAGTTTGTCAGTCTACAGTTTACCCGCCCACCAATGTACCTGTCAACGTGTTTATCAGTTTACTAATTTACCTGTCTACCAATTTACCTATCTACCAATTTACATATCTACCAATTGACATGTTTACCAATTTTTTTATCTACCAATTTACTAGGTTACCAATTTACCTGTCTAGAAATTTAGTAATCTAGCAATTTACGAGTCTACTAATTTACCTGTCTATAAATTTACCTGTACACCAATTTACTTGTCTACCAATTTACCTGTCTACCAATTTACCTATCTGTCAACTTACCTGTCTATCAATTTACCTGTCTCCAGATTTTCCTGTATATTAATTTACTTACCAACCTATCGATCAATTTATATGTTTATCAATTTTTCTGTTTACCAATTCACATTTCATCCCGTTCTACACGTCTACCTACTAATTAACCTGTCAACATTTGTCTATTTACCAGTCTGTCTACATACTTGTCTACCTACCAATTATCCTGTCTACCAATTTACGTAACCTCCCAAGTTACTTATCTACCAGTATAGCTATCTACCAATTTACCTATCTATCTGTTTACGTATCAATCTACCTGTTTATCTGTTTACCTGTCTGCCAGTTCACCTGTCCACCAATATACCTGTCAACCTATCAACCAGTTTATTAATTTACCAGTTTATCAATTTACTCGTCTACCAATTTATCTGTCTACCAATTTACCTGTCTACCAATTTACCTGTCTACCAATTTACCTGTCTACCAATTTACCTATCTACCAATTTACCTGTCTACCAATTTATCTGTCTACCAATTTACCTGTCTACTAAGTTACCTGTCTACCAATTTACATATTCTCCAATTTACCTGTCCACCAGTTTACCTATCTACCTAACCTGTTTACCTGTTCATCAATGTACCTATCAATCTACCTGTTTCTGTTTACCTGTCTGTCAGTTTACCTGTCCACCAATTTACCTGTCATCTTAAATATCACTCTACCAATTTAGTTGCCAATTTACCAACCAATTTACCTGTTTTAAAAATTCACCTGTCCACCGCTTTGCAACAATTTACCTGCCCGTCAATTTACCAGTCTATCAATATACCTGCCAATTAATATACCTGTCTACCAATTTACCTGTATACCAATTTAGCTATCAACCTGTGCATCAATTCACCATTTTATCTGCCAACCAAATTACCTATTTACCAATTTACCTGTAATGTATTTATAAATATTTTTTATATTTTTAATTAATGAATTTTAGCAATTGTGATTATTATTAGATACATGTAGAACTTTTATTCGCGTTTATTCGAGAATTTTGAATATAAGGACAGCATTTATTCTCATTTTTTGAAAAGTTACTAATTATACAGATATATATTTAATATGTCAAGTCTTGATTAAACAAAAATATTGCGCCAGTATCAGTTTATAAATGATACCAAAGTATCCTGTAAATAAAAACAAAATGTATTTCAACTTTGTTACATGTATTTGGTATTTTCTTCGATGGGCGAGTTTGTTGAAGTTTTAAAATTAATCTCTCAACAAGCAAAAGACCGGTCATAAAGTACTTTTTATTATCATGGGACGACACGAGTACATATATTTAAAATCAATAAAAAAAGTAAATTACATGGTTATTTTTTATTTTTCTTGTCATCTCTTCTGGATGTAAAAATTCACTGAGTAAAAAATGGACTTGATTTGGAACATATTATTTTATAGTCTGAGAAAATGCTTCGTTTTCGAAATATTATCATTTTATTGGATGCTTAGATACTTTTTTCATAATGATGTAGTACGTAGGCGCAAACGATATCCTATAGCTTTTCGATTTTATTAAGAATTTTTTTCAAGTTGACATATATCAAAATCTTGTTTTTTTATACGAATATAATTTTTATATCCAATTTACTTACCAATGTCTCTAAAATTGGCAAGTTGTTGCCAGCAAGTGATGAGACTGCAGGAGCCACTGACTCCGTGGCACTTGCAGGTGACTTTGGATTTTGCAACCACCGCCTAGAAAAAAAAAATTAAAAAGTAACATCTAGTTTTCTCCATAAATTGTAAAAAATACTTATAAAAATTTAATACAAATTAGATAGATAGATAATAGATAACATATATATTGCATAAATAATTATACATTGATTTAAAAATACAAATTATTCTGCTGTATATATAACTAACAGTATCTAAGATAAGTAAAGTAAAGCACATTTACAATTTAAATTTAAAATGTATATTTTGAATTTATCAAAAAGAGGGAATTAACCAAAAAATGTCTGAATCGATTTCCCGACTATACCATTTCTGGATGACACGATGATTTAATAAAACTTAATTTCGAGATCAAAACAAAACTATGTTACGCTGCGTTTTTCATATAAAATTGTACTAAAAACCGTCAAAATGTTATGTATTTGCTGTGCAATCAGGCGTTTTACACATAAAATATAACTTCACTCATATGCTATTATGACACATCAGACAGATGCACTTATGATAGCATCGTTTTCTGGACTTTTGTTCGTTTTCTAGGTTAGATTTTCTATTTAAAATGCCCGACTGAACATGAATCACATAGAATTTTGACAGTTTTCAGTACCATTTTATATGAAAAACGCAGCGTAGCATAGTATTTTACGACAGAATCGGCTTATTTATTTAATTAATAATTACAATTTATTTAATTAATAATTTCAATCCCACAACAAAAATTATAATTATTCGAGCACTTTATCGCTCAATATAAATATTCAATTCGAATATCGTCGTAAAAATACTTTTTGATTTACGGCGGGCATTAAAAAAAAGTCTTATCGTCGGTTTTACTTAAAATAGAACCTGTAGGTAGTAACCTGATCGAATTATCTCACCTTAAGTAAATGTAAATTTAAAAGCTTTTATATTAAGATATCTAAGAGAATTTATTAAATGTGTATATAGAATAGAGGACAGAAGGAGCTGTGAACATTTACACATAGCGAATAAAATTTTGAATTAAAAATTAAGATGTAATTTGAATGATTTAGTTTTATGTTGTTCCACCAGACTCATAATTCTTGAAATAAACGTATAAATTTATAAATTTATTCGACCTGATTTTCTTCAAAATGTTCTTTTAAAATTTATTTCAAATACACATTTTTTCATAAAATTGTTTTGAAGATTTTTTATTTGCATTTAATGCTGTCTGTACATTTCTACATTATAAAAATCAGATGTCATTTTTAAATACGTTTTCTCTCTTAGTATGTTCAATGAATTACTTATCGCGTCGACCATAATTTTTATTTATTTCTGAACAGTCTTCTATAATATAGTAGCAAGTTTTTTTCAGAAATTTACAACCTAAATCACTTGAAAACAATTCGAGCTTTACTTTCCAAATTACCTGTAGTAAATTTAATATTTTTAATACAATTAAATATTTAAGTTTTTTACACTTCAATTTTTATTACGAGCACTTATTAATTTGTTATCATTCTTTCCAAAACTTTTAAGTATTTTTCGTTAATTTTAGCTCAAATAAATTAAAGTTTTTATATTCAATTGCGTTAAGAATATGATTTTTCATAAAATTTATAGTATAGCAAAATGGTCTTAAAGTTGGTTTAGTATTTTTCTTATATATGTTTTATTATAACACTATCCATTTTATTGTACTCAAAAAATGTTGTCTACACCTGACGCTCATCATCTCTATTAGATTTGAACCATATCTATTTAATTAATAGTACACTTTGAGAAACTGTCACATGATATCTTTGAAAAGTTATGCCAATTAAGGCCAAAAGATAAAATATCTATTTATTTGGTGTACGTGGAGAGATTCCATAGTAATCGGATTAAATTTTATATAAATCATTTATTTTGTTAATAAATAATTATATATAAAAATTTCAAGTGCAATTAAATTTTTATTATAGTTTATATCAGTATTTTATGTGAATGCTTTTCATCGAATTTGAATCAAGATTTTCTGAGCTTATAGAAAAACTTTAATTTAACCGCTCCATTCACTAAAACATTTTCAAAAGAATTCTTAGATATTGGCGACGGAAAACTAGATGCATCAAATTATCGATCGATTTTTGCATAATCTCTAATTCTCAGAACTAACCTTCTGTATAAATGTACAAGTAGTACATAATTCATAAATTGCTTGCAGAAATAGCAATTTTAGCAAAGAAAAATGTAAAAATTCAATATCAAGGAGATACAACAGTTTTTGAAAGAAATCTAAATATCATACAAACCTATGGCAAATTTATAAATTTTTTCAACTAAAATCAATTTTCGGATTTTTCTCCGTAATTAAAAAATTAATGAATTATTGAAAAGCGTGGTAATAATATATAAAAATCTTGAATATTCAAATGTGCCAATTCCATTTAAATGGAATCTGTTCCAGGCTAGGCTAGCATATGGCTAGCAATTGCAATGACTATTAACATGTTCCAGGAACATTTACTAGAAAATTCAATTCACTTATGAGTCTAGACAATATTAGAATATAATATATTCATGATTATAATTAAGAATAAATAAGAAAAATGTGATGTCTACATTATTGCTGAAAAGCAGCTGAGATGTGCCAAAAATTAAAAAATATAAGATACAACTAATGCATGTCGTGTTTTGCCTTACTTTACTAAATTTTTTCACAATGCAAAAAAATATTTAAAAATGATTTAGAATTTTGATTCATGTGTCAAAAATTCATTTGTTTGTCATTGGATATGGAATATTTAGCAAGTTGATATTAGATTGAATAGTGCACATATGAACTAGATTTTACAATTAATTCACCTAAGAATTGACATAAACAATAATGTTTATTAAATTATTAGTAAGAAAATTGTTCTTTAGAAATTATAATTGCCAAAAAGCAACTAATATATCGTTCGAGATTATGAAAATTGTAGACTAAATTATTGAAGCAATTATTTTGAGTGGTAAAATGAAGTGTGATATTGTTCTTTTACAGCAGATACTATATTATTATTTTCTGAATTTCTTATACTGCTTATGCTAAGACCATAAATGAATCACAAAAGTATGACATCAAATATGATATTAAAAAGTATAGGATAGGATATTAAAAAATTTGGAACTTTTGTATTGTAGACGTGGGCACAGGACAACGTCTGACGGGTCATATATATATATATATATATATATATATATATATATATATATATATATATATATTTCTATCTCTATAACGGTGTCGTAATAAGAACCGACGCCTTCTCAGTAGTTTCGATGCAATGTGAAAGCAATTTGAAACTTTTATTTTCCGTGTTCGCGCTTATCGAAAGGTGGAAATTAAATGCTCCCAGGCCAAAAGTGAAATGGACAATTTGTAGATAGTCGATAGTACATCGGCTACTTCTACATAAATTATATACTATTAGATTATCTATAATCTATCTAATACATGCCAGATTATACTTGCTTTCTTTCACATCGATGACACCTTTAGTCATAGAAAAATAGAGAAATACATTACCATGGCACTAGAAATTAGTATGATATCGTGAAATTATACAAATGTATGAAATAATTTCAAATCAACAAGTATGCCTTATCTAAATGACAAAACTTATGAACATGTTTGTTATTTATTATTTTTAAAACTTATGGTTGATTCTACCGTAAAATAGATCAGTATTATGACAAGGCTATTATTTTTTTTCAATTTTCATACAAAATGGTACTAAATGCTGTCAAAATGTCATGTATCTGCTGTGCATTCAGGCATTTCACACATAAACTGCAACGTCACTCGTATTTATGAAGCTGGGTCAGAAAGACCCTGTTATCTAACATAGTTTTTTTGACTTTTGTGCGGTTTTAGGATATGTTTTCTATCTAACAACTTAAAACGCGTGTCTGCACAGCAACGACATGACTTTTGACAATATTTAGTATGGAAAGTTCTTAAAAGGCTTGAATAAACATTGGTCTATTTTACGGCAGAATCGCCTTCTTAGTATCAAATCCTTACTAACATTCTTAAGTTAGCTGAACAAGTTCTTCCTAATTTTCTGACTTCTCCCAAGTTATTTCTTCTAAGGTCGGTGGTTCTTGGTAAAAAGAAAATAAAAGACTAAAAGTGAATAAAATCCTTTCTTAATGTGTTAACGAAAGCTAAAATGAACAAAACGTAAACGCCATGCAATATATAATAACAGTAAAAGAGTTGATGGTAAAAAATGAATATCAAAACTAGTGGTGCATGGCATCGTGTCTTAGAGCATATAGCTGGAAATTCTCGTACTCTAATTAATTTTTTTTAAAAGCTCTAAAATTTTGAAAGAATCGACTTTTTTTGAAAATTTTTAAATTGAAAAAATATTGAAAACGTATCTAAATTTTGAGTAAAATCGACTTTTTTAAATCCTATTTTTGTTTAAAAGGTCGGTTGTTTTAAATAAATATTTAAAATATTTTGAAAATTTTGAAACTCATTTAAATCAGTTGATAATTCCAATTTTTTACTAATTATTATCGAAAATATCAAAAAAATTGTTTGTACTATATTTGAGAACGCTAAACATTATAAATTCTGGTACGGAACCAAAAAATTGGAAACAAAATTTATACTTATTACTAAAATATCACATAGGCTGAGGCATATGTCTAATAATCATTTTTAACCGCTAAATGGCATTTTGGATCTCCTAAATAATTTAGCAATTTTTTATTCCGTCAATACAAATAAATTTTTTTGAAGCATTCAAATCGATGTTTCGATCTTTCAAAAATTGTCATTTTTGAAAATCTAGCTCTAAATCTCCGAAACGGCTGGACCTGCCTTTGCCAAAAACTAATCAGCAACCCATCAATAGAAATCAAATAATTTTAATCAATCAAATCGGTTGATCGTTGTTCTCAAAATCATCGACAAAAATTGTATCCGCACACCATACATACATAAATATTTTCCAAGGTATGCCAAAATGTTCAGAAACGTTTGAAACGTAAAATAATGCATAAGTTATCCTTTTCAATTTTTTTGCATTTACTATAACTTACTCTACGCGAAGTGTAAAAGAGATTTTGCTCTAAGAAACGTAAATTCTTTGCGGCGTATGTGTATGATCCAAAACATGAATAAGATGCAGATTTAGCAACTTTTAAAATTGTGAGGATTTATGTTTAAAATTTTGACACTTTGATTTTAATTAGACCAACAAAGCCGAGAAAGGGTTTTCTCACTTGGAAAAATATATACTTCTATATATATTCTTGTAAAAGGTATATAACGGACTAGATTTTTCTGATTAAATTGCAAAAGCTCAAGCCACTACGCCATGGCAAAAGACAAAACTTAAATTTGAAACAGCAATATATATAAATCAATAATTAATTTCGAGTTATAATAATCTCAAAAAAATCGTTTCCGTATTTTTTTTCTAAAATAGCCGATTGCTTTGGAAAAAAATTCAAAATTTTTAGGAAAATTCAAAGTACATATAAAAAAAGTTCAAAATATAAAAAAGAATTCAAATTTTTCAAAAAAGTAAAATTTTTTCAAAAAAATCAAAATTCTCAAAAAATCAGATATTTTTCATAGTTTTCAATAAATTTCATAGGTTTTATAAATTTTTAAATTTTTAGTACGGGAAATTCCAGCAATTTGCATTAAGACACGATGCCATGCACCACTAGTTTTTTTTTAACACTTTTAATTAAAATATTTTCTAAAATTTTCTACCAGCTTCCTTATTATAAATTATATGACGGCCGGTTGTTCAGACACTGAAGAAGATCGCTCACTTCTTCACCGTGAGTTCGCACAATGCGCCTGAAAATTATGGGCAATTACGACACTCGCCGACGCAGATTCAGAGATCGAGATCGAGATCTCGGGATCGAGATCACGATCCACTCCGAGATAGCAAAGATCTCGAACCGAGATACTCCGAGAATTTTTTTTAGACACTGAACTTTACTGCACTTTATTTATAATGCGCTATTTGAAGATTAATTGCACTTCATTTGGTAAAGATGTATAATATAGGTTTGTTGATAAAGCATTTTTTAACTTTGCGAAGTAGAAGTTTATGTTTTCATCAAAAAATCCGATCGCTAATTTTATGTTTTCTCGACGTTTCAAGCCATTCTGAATTGAATGAGACCAAATTTGGAAAAAGTATGTGTGTGTATATATGTGTGTGTGTATGTGTATGTAAACAAATTTTTTGCCGTAAATCGAGGTTTTCCCAAAAACGATAGGACGGATTTCAAAAATTTAAAAGCCATTTGATGTATCTCGATGAGGACTACCGTTTGTCAGTTTTGTGCGACGATCGGCCAAACCGTTTCTTTGTAAATAGCAGAAAAGTGAAAAAAATTTCGTCCACGTTTTAGCCTGCAATTCGGAATCGATTTTGAAAATTCAAAATCCGTCGAAAGATATTGGTTGGGAATCATGCTGATCAGTGTTTGGTAGAGATCGGCCGGGCCGTTTTCTTGTAATGAAGTGTTAAATTTTTCTTTTGACGATTTTTATTATTTTTATATTTGACGTAGTCTTCTAGATCATACTAAAATATTACGGCCCTACGGAACTTGTTTAACTTTAAACATTCTTCAAAGTTTGCAAAAATTAGTTTAGTTTTTTTCATCGACGTTTGCTCAAAAACGACTGAACCGATTCCAGAAATTTAAAAGCTCTTTAATGCATCTCAATCGTTTATCGTTTCTCAGTTTTGTGCGACGATCGGCAGAGCCGTTTCTTTGTAAATTAAAAGAAGTGTTAAACTTTTTGTCCACATTTAAGCTTATACTACCGACTCGATTTAAAAAAATCAAAAACTGTTCGAAAGATATTAGTTGGGAATGATACTGATTAGTTTTAGGTGAAAATCTACCAAGCCGTTTTCTTATAATTAACTGTTGAAAAAAAAAGCTGATTTTTATGGAACCTTTTTTGGTGATATATATCATGGTCTTATAGACCTTACTTAAACATTACGGCCTTACGACAAGTAGTTTAATTTTAAAAATTCACCAAAGCTTGAGAAAATGAGTAGTTTGTTTGACGTTTGTTAAAATTAAAATTAGATGATTTACTTGGTATAACGATAGAGTACTTGGTCTTAATGAACATATACAAAATCATTAAAGTCCTACGGAAGCTGGTTCAATAATAAAATTTCTTGATTTGTGATAATTTGCGTTTAGAAAATACTCCGAGTTAACGTGATCGTTCGTTTTTAATTATGTTTAATAAATCCACTCGGAATACTTTTAATCTCTAATAAATTAATAATTTTTTATTGATTAAGTCGATTATTTACACATATCGGGAAATTCTTGCAACTTGCCTCAATGCAAAATACCAATACCAACTAGTTATATTTCGGATCTAATGCAATATATTATTTTTCTCTATCGCCTTGCAAAACGTTTTCAGTGCATTAGTTGCGGTTATTTTTACAGCAAAACATTTCATCAATGACGGTCATAAAATCTTTGCAAAATATTTATATTATTATTGCCAGCTACACTGCCGCCGTTGCGAAATATGGGAGACTTGTAAATGATTGTATATAGAAATATGATTTACTGATTTTGAAATGTGATATTACTGAGATACAAAATTAATATAATTACTATCATTTAGTTGAATGTTGGAAAATCTTACGTTTTTGTTATTATAATAAAATCAGGCTTTGCACGGAACGTTAAATTTAACCAGTGGTGCATGGCATCGTGCCTTAAGGCAAAGTGCTGAAATATCCCGTATCAGAATTAAATATTCGAGGGTCACAGCGAGTTAGTAATCATCAGTAGTTCCATTCGCACCAAAAAAATGTGCAACTCCTCTACATTTAGTCTACACACAATTAAGTACAACGTGTTTCCGATCACCAATCACAAAGTAGACTGGACGTCCGATCCCAACCAATGAGAATGACATGTCATAATATATATATTTTGTTAACAAATATTTTGTAGTACATTTTTATAAAGTCGAAAATTTATAGAGTTAATTCATTTTAAAATTAAACTTTTTGATATGATAGTTCAGGAATTTGCTTTCGTTCCAACTCTTATACATCATGCATACACATAGTAACCTTCAGATCTAAAGCTGCTAAAATAAATAATTAACCAAAGTGAATAATCAATTAATATTAAATAAATCCTCTGTATCATCTATAATCCATATCGCATCACTTAATTAAATATCCTCATAATAAATCCCTAAAAGGCGATACTGTCCCAATCACCGCCGAGGCGCCTCGTTTCTCTTCTGTTAAGATTGGCGGCTTTAAAATCTTGCAGCTGAAAAAGATATTAAAAAGAAATAAAATAAACTCAAACACGAACCGAGAATGCCGACTGAGGAATTAAACGATAAAACGTCCAGTCTGCCTTCGATGTATTTTCGAATAAAAATTTATCGGTTGCAGAATTGAGCGATCGAAAATATACGACAATGTTAATAATTATTTACTTTGAAAGTATTTCAAATACTGAGATTTATATTCCGTTTATCGACAATTCCTTTCTCGTAATAAATAATATCAGAAACACAATTACTTTGTGTTTCGATTTGATGTTTATATTGTTTTGCAATTAGACCGGTCGAACGGAAAGCTTCTGTTGGAGGATTTATTGAGAAAAGTCGACGGCAGTGCAGATAAATATAATAGATTTATAATATAATGTCACGAACAGAAATCTTAGATTGTAGATACTCAGAAACAGAGGCGGAAAATATTATAACAAATAATATATAGGGTACAATGGGTTTTAAAAGTCCGCGGATGAAAAGGTCTACCATCGATATCTCAAATACAAGTAAAGTTAAGAATTTTTCAACAACAATATTTGTAAGTAGAAGAAACATTCTTACGACATTGCTATCAGAAGATAAAAAGGCAATTAACAAAAAACCCTTCACAAAAGTATTTTCTTTCGTTGTTAGTTTTTCTGGTCGTGAGCACTGTTGTTTAGTTTAAGGGATCCTAATGTAATTTTTAAGTAACCGTTATTTTATTGTTTTATAAGATGTATTGTTAATTTAGAATTAGATTTAACCGTTTTTTTCATATCACCTTCATAAACTTATTTGTGGGTGGGGTAAAAAGGACCATCTAAAAATTTACCTGGCAAAGGTGTAAACAATAAATAATAGTAAATAAAAAGTAAACTAGCGGTGTATAGTACGCATACACACACATAATTTTTTTCTGAAACGTGAAGATATGCAAAAATCTTCATTTTTGATTTTCCCCCCATTACTATAACACTCTACGGAAAATTAATTAAGTTAAAAAGTTAAAATTTTTAAAGAAAGGAATTAAATAAATAGTTATGCCGACTCTGCTGATGAATATTTCTGACAAAATACTAGATCAAGTGTTATTTATGAAATCTCTGTAAAAAATGTAGCCAAGAAATTTATATTCTTCATTAGTTAAGTAATTTAGTTATTTAGTGATATTGCTTTAAATTTAAAATTAAAACAGTCCCTTTTTACTCTTTGTACGAGACAAAAAATACTACGACTTAGGCGACTAGATACCTTAATAATACCGAAAATAAATATTTGAGTAAAACGTAAAAATGCTTCTTTTCATAAAATTTAAATTTCATTAATTGTAAATAAATA